TAAATAAATCTTTTAAAAAATGTTTTTTATTCATTTGAAAGACAGAGACAGAGGGAGAGATCTTCCACCTGCTGTTTTATTCCCCAAATGACTGCAACAGCCAGAGGTGGCCCAGGCTGAAGCCAGGAAGCAGGAGCTCCACCTGAGTCTTCCACAAGGTGGCAGTGGTCCAAGTACTGGGGCCGTCACCTGCTGCTTTCCCAAGTCCGTGAGCAGGCAGCTGGATCAGAAGCAGAGCAGCCAGGACTTACACTCCGATGTGGGATGCCAGCATCACAAGCAGCCCCGAAGAAGATGTCTTTGCATTGTTTCCTAGAAAAAATACTTATGTATGACATCATACAACATAGGTCTTAACCTTTTCATTAACAATGTCTGTGTTTTAAAGAAGAAAGAACAAGTATAAAAAAGTATCAATTTGTAATAGTTGCAGAATGAGAATAGAATGAATACTGTGAATAGCACCTCTCTTGGCCTGCTGTCCACACAGCCTGGCCCCTCTGGATCTCAGGAGGATTCCAGACCCACTCCTGTGTCACTGGGGGTCGTTTCCAGCTCTGTACAACTCCGAGTGTGTTTAGTGAAGTACGTTAGCGTCACAGCTTTGTTTAAGCATAGTAAGAACTCCTCATAGTAAGAATGCATTACTTGAAATTTAGTAACATTCTGTGAATGTCGGCTTTATTTGTATATTTATTTTAAAAAATGTATTTATTTATTTGAAAGTGTTACACAGGGGAGCCAGCTTAGCTCTGGCCATTGTGGCCATGTGGAGAGTGAATCAACTGATGGAAGACTTCTTTCTTTCTCTCTCTCTCTCTCTCCCTCCCTCCCTCCCTCCCTCTCTCTCTCTTTCTCTCTCTGCCTCTCTGTAACTCTACCTTTCAAATAAATAAATCTTAAAAAAAGAGCTATACAGAGAGAAGAAGAGACAAAAAGAGAGAAAAAGAGAGATCTTTCATCCACTGGTTCACTCCCCAAATGGCTGCAGTGGCCAGGGCTGGACCAGGCCAAAGCCAGGAGCTTCTTCCAGATCTCCCAAGTGGGTAGCAGGGTCCCAAGCACTTGGGCCATCCTCTGCTGCTTTCCCAGGTGTGTTAGCAGGGAGCTGGATTGGAGGTGGAGCAGCTGGGACTCCAACCAGTGCCTATATGGCAATGCTTTACCCTCCACACCACAACAGCAGCCCCGTGTATATTTATTTTTAAGTAAATGAGAAGCCACTATTTATTTCCAAATGTGTGGTTCTTTGAGAAATTTTTTCTCAGATCACAATGTGAGGGAGGGCATACTGGGGGCTGTCTCGGCATCTAAGACCCCACCCCTGCCCCACAGAGAGGTGTCCTTGCTGCTCGGGGTGGCCCTGGGCCGGGGGCGGGGAGAATGTGGTGACCAAGCTTCAGCTCCCAGGTTGCCAATCCAGCAGCAAGTCCTGCGGTTGCTATAGTCGGGAGATGGTAATGTATGCCATTTTTAATAGGAAAGGATAGAAAACCGAGAGCAGTTAAGTCTCTTTCTGAACTGGGCATCCCTGTAATACGTCAGGAAATGTGTGATGGGGCAGAATGTGAAAGGGTATCTCTTGTTCCCGGTCAGTAGTGGGAAAAATGATAAATATTGCCAGAAATATCAGTGAATGTTCTCGTATGCACCAGCTACGTGTGTGAACAAGTACTGCTTTCTCTGTGATGCTGGAGCTGTCTTCAAACCCCTTCTTATTTTTAAAAAAGATTTATTTATTTACTTGAGAGGCAGAGTTACAGAGAGGCAGAGGCAGAGGCAGAGAGAGAGAGAGAGAGAAGTCTTTTCTCACTTGTTCACTCCTCAAATGGCCACAATGGCTGGGGCTGAGCTCATCCGAAGCCAGGAGCCTGGAGCTTCTCCCAGGTCTCCCACGTGGGTGCAGGGGTCCAAGGACCTGCACCATCTTCTACTGCTTTCCCAGGCCATAGCAGAGAGCTGGATCGGAAGAGGAGAAGCCGGGACTTGAACCGGCACCCACATGGGAAGCCGGTGCTGCCGGTGAAGGCTTTACCCGCTATGCCACAGCGCCGGCCCCAACTACATCGTATTTACCAGGAGAATTATAAAACACAAATTACATGTAAACAGAATTTTTTTTAAATAAAAATTGACTCCAGCAAAAGCTTTTAATGATGGCTCTTACAAGCTCTCTAATTGATGATTGTGTTTACCTATTGAACTGGAGCTGTGGGTAAAGCATTTGTTAGATGCTTATTATAATATCTAATGTGGTAGCAGCCTAAATTGCTAGTCCCAATTTGTGTACTGTTATTATTAGGACAGAAAGGTAACTTAATTTTCAGTATTTTGTAAGCAAATATACACGGAAGTCATTTTTATTAGCATTTTGTTATGAGAAAGAACTAACAGAAGGTGGCCAAACTTCCATTTACTAAATAGTAGCTATTCTTTAAGTTTGTAAAATTATGAGGTTTTGCTGCTTTGGACCACAAGTGATTTTATTAACAAAAAGTTGCTTTTATTATATAATGCTGAATTATGTGTGCCTAAACTCTATTAAGCATCACCGTTAGTACTGTGAATATATATAATACATACTTGTATTATTTTTGATTCTTAAGTTTGGGTGAACTGCTGGCATAGAAATCATAGTGCTTTGGTAATAAGACTCCTTTTTATGTTTCTCAAGGGTTGTGTGTTTATGTGTTTTGTATATTTACAGTTTGAATATCTACAAGGAACCTAGTGTATTTCAGTTGAACAAATGGAGGCTTTCCTCTTCTGTTAATTTCCGTTAATGCAGATTTCATCCATGCGTTCGGTCTTTCTCTCCTTGGAGTAAAACCGCCGCTGACGGCGGGATCCAGTTTCTGCATCTGATGCGACACCTCTGCTGCCCACCAGACTGGTTTCTGCGCCTCCCCCATTTCACAAGAAATCACTAATGTTTGTAAATTAGAGGAACTGCCTTCTTTCCCAAAGATGTGTGCTCCTGGGATGGTTTTCTGGATCTGATGATTAGCAGGAAGGACGCACAGGCCGTTGCCGTGGGGGTCACTTCGGACCACTGCAGAGATAAGCGTGCCTCCTCTTGCAACACCCGCCCCTCCCCCTTTCTGTGGTACCCGCTCTGCCTTAATGTGTCCGGCTGGTGGATCAACATGAAATTGAAGGACATTTGATCAAGAAAATGAAAGTTCTCTGAGTTTCTGGGCTTTCTGGCAAAATGGGCAGGGAGGCAGGAGAGCTGGAGGCTCTGTGGAGGGGTGTGTGCCTTTGTTTACTTAGAGTACGAGCGAGGTTGGAGGTTTCCTCTGCGTGGCCAGTAGTGGTGGATCTGGCGTTGGAGACAGTTTCTGGGGCTGATGGTGCTTACCAGAAGGCAGAGGCTGAATACCTGCCCAGTACAGGATTTTAGTTGCATTTATCTAAAGTATACGAGGGCTGTCAAAAATGTTACTCAATTACTGGAATCGTATGCAGCTTAGTACAAAATACCACTCTGGGAAGTTTAGACACTTTACCGTGACAGTGCAAGTGTGGAACAATGGGTTAAATTTGGGATTGATTGATTGTAGTCATCAAATATGAATATCCTCATGAAATGCAAGGTCATCGTTACCAAAGTAGAACCTGCATGTCCTTACAAACTCCAGATGTGCCAGAGAGCCTCAAATCGAAGAAGAGCAGGCTCTGGGCTGCACTAGCCTCGCTGCTTGTCCACTGCCGAGGCAGCCCTCCTGGCCTGGTCCCACCTGCCTTCCCAGGCTGTGCGCGTAGACAGCAGCTCAGTGGCAGCTTTGTTTCTAGCGGGTCTTCCCGCTTCATTGACACTGAGCTGCGATCCGGGCAGACACCGCTCTGCCCGCTCCTCCCGGCTCGCCACTGTTCCATCCTGCGTCCTGTATCTCCTGGGTCCATCCTAGGTCTTAGGCCATCTGTGTTGGGCAGCTTTTCACCACTTGAGCTAAAACACCCGAGAGGGACCAGGAAGAAGCCTTGGCCGGGCTCACACCCGACACCAGGCAGCTGCATGGCGGCGGAAGGCCAGTCCCATGATGAGCGGGGAAGTGGAGAGACACGGGGAGCACACTCTCCCTCCGCCCGGTGAGGCCTCTCCTTATAAAGCCATCTCCAGGCTCCCAGGACCTCCGCCTCGAGCCTAATCCTATCCAGTGACTTCCCGAGACCCCACCTTCAGACTCCAGGATTGGTGCCTGCCTCTATCCTAACCTGTCGGCCATTACCATGGCACTGTCGGGTTTAAAGGTATGTGTCAGTTTAGGGGCTCGAATCCTGTTAAAATTGTACCACCATCTATGAACTTTGCTTAGTCTTATTTCTAAGCCAGTAGGTGTTTATTTTAGCGCTGATAAAAATCCCTACTGGGCACTTTGTAAGTAAGAAAAGTACTATTTTAAATATATGTATTAGAAAACTAAACATTTTTTTACTTGTGGGCTAGTGAAGGGCACACTCGCTTGCATTATTGGAATAATCTTTGAAAGTGGTCTTTGTGGGGCGTAGTTGGTAAACTGCTGCTGCCTGTGACTCCTGCATCCCATGCCGGGGCTGCTCCGCCTCCACTCCAGCTCCCTGCTAATGTGCCTGGGAAAGCAGTGGAGAATGGCCCGGGTACCTGGGCCCCTGCACCCACATGGGAGACCCAGTTGAAGTTTGTGGCTCCTGTGTTCTGTCTGGCCCTGCCTCGGGCTGTTGCAGGCGTTTGAGGAGTGAACCAGCTGATGGGCAATCTCTCTCTCTCTCTCTCTGTAACTCTGCCTTGCAAATCAATATAAATAAATCTTTAAAAAAGAGAAAGTGATCTTTGTGACTAAGAAATAAATTATAAATTTAAAGGGGAATGTATTCTTACTTGAACAGTTTAAACACAGTTGTTTCATAAATCGTTCAACAACTGTTTTTATGCATCTGGTACTGTTCGTAGTAGGTTTGCTTTACCGTATTCTTGTCTATGATGAATTTACTTACATGAATTTCTTTGTGTTTCTTAGACAAAATTGAAGAAGCACAAAAAGAACTGAACGGGGCAGAAGTTTCAAAAAAAGGTAATGAAAGCATTCTGCATGCAGACATCATTTTGCGCACAGGATCTTTAGCATTTCAGTTTTGCTAAATAAATCGGTGCAAACATATCATAGGATTAGACATCATCTCAAACTAATTGGTACCAAAAGTTTTGTGAACTTTGCCTCATGCAGTAGTTTAGGGGCCCCGCATGTTCTGTGACTGTTTTCCCAGACGTGAGTGCAGGGCTGGTAGGATTGTGAGATACTGCTGCAGCTCTTCAGAAAGTCCCATCTGTAAGCCCGTCCTGCAGCCACAAAACCATCGGAATCATGAATACACGCGGCTGTGCCCATGCGTGGGTGTGTGTGCTCACCTGGCGAGGTGTTCTTTTAAAATGATGAAAGTGTAAGACACCCTGAGTGCCCGCTAGTGGGAAAATAGTTGAATAAATTGTAAATAACATCCCTGTTTGGGTTATCATGAAGCTTTAAAAAAAGAGTTAATGACTTCAATTGACAATGACTTATTTTTAAGAGAACCAGAATTAGAGTGTAGCACGTGAAATACACTCCCTTCCGTAGAACAGATAACAAATTCAAGTATATCTGCTTGTGTGTACACACAGACACACACACACACATGCACACACGTATGCACAGTTTGAAAGGATTTATACACATATATAATGGTGGGAGAAGAGGGACAAGGGAAGATAACTCATTTATGTCTTCCTTTTGGTTCACCAGTTATATATCGAGTATGATTTTGTACAAAAAGTCAGAACACTAAGAGCAAAAGTTGGTTTCACCGTAGAAAGCGTGTTGGTTTTCCTTCCGAGGACCCGAGGAGGACAGGAGCTTCAGCACCTGGGGCGCTGCCAGGCAGGGGGACAGCAGAGCTCCAGGCTCTTACAGAGCAAGACGCCTTGCGTGCTTCTCGTAGTGCAGGGGATGAAGTTGTCTTCATGCCATTCATATGTCACGATTTATTACTGTTTTTACTTGTTATATCTTCTAATTGCAATGGGGTACTTTAACAAAATGGTTTAGCTAAATAGTTGAAAGTCTTTTTTGTTTTATTTATTTAAATATTTTTGCCTTTCTTTTCTTTCTTTAAAAAAAAAAAAACTTTATTTATTTGAAAGGCAGTTACAGAGGTAGACAGAGAAAGAGAGAGAGAGAGAGAGAGTGAGGTCCTCCATCCTCTGGTTCACTCCCTATATGGCACAATGGCCAGAGCTGGATTGTTCTAAAACCAGGAGCCAGGAGCTTCTTCCAGGTCTCCCACGCAGGTGCAGGGGCCCTAGGACTTGGGCCATCTTCTGCTTTCCCAGGCCATAGCAGAGAGCTGGATCAGAAGTGGAGCAGTCAGGACTCGAACTATCACCCATATGGGATGCTGGCACTGCAGGTGATGGCTTTACCTGCTACGTCACAGCCCTGACCCTTTTGTTTGTTTTAGATCTAATTTGATGGCTGACTAAGTTTTCAATGGGAAGATTAATTTCTTCCATCCACTTCTCCCTCCTTTGGAGCAGCCACAAGCCTCCAAGATTATAGTGTGGGATCGGTCTTCATAATTAGGTAGTCCTGGGCCAGCGCTGTGGCCTGGCGAGTAAAGCTGCCATGTGCCGTGCTGGCATCCTGTATGGGTGCCGGTTCAAGACCTGGCTGCTCCACTTCTGATCCAGCTCTCTGCTGTGGCCTGGGAAAGCAGTGGAAGATGGCCCAACTCCTTGGGTCCCTGAACCCATGTGGGAGACCCGGAAGAAGCTCCTGGCTCCTGGCTTCGAATGAGCTCAGCTCCAGCCATTGCGGCAAGTTGGGGAGTGAACCAGCGGATGGAAGACTTCCCTCCCTCCCTCCCTCCTTCTCTCTCTCTCTCTCTCTCTGCCTCTCCCTCTCTGTAATTCTACCTTTCAATTAAATAGATAAATCTGTAAAAAAAAAAAAAAATTACATGATCCTATGCAGTGCCTTAAAGTGCCTTCCTTCTGGATTCTGATAACCTGTGTCGAATCTGACCCTTTGATGGCCTTCCTGCAGCGAAGCCAGGCTTCGGAGGGTAGAGAAGCCTGCACAGCCATGTTGACCCTGGAAGGACTGACCACGGACCCCTCCCACATTGCTGTACCCATGGAGCATTTGGGACACTCACATTCTAGGAGCTCTTTCTTTTTTTTTTTTTTTCCTTAAAGATTGATTTTATTTATTTAAAGGTAGTGTGACCGAGCGAGAGAGGGAGAGACAGAGAGATCTTCCATCCACTGGTTTGCTCCCCAAATGGCCAAAAAGGCCTGGACTGGGCCAGGCTGAAGCCAGGAGCTTTATCTGGGTCTCCTACGTGGGTGGCAGAGGCCCAAGCACTTGGGCCATCTTCTGCTGCTTTCCCAGGCGCATTACAGATCTTGAACCAGCACCAAAAGCAGTGCTGGTATTGCAGGTGGTGGCTTAACCTGCTATGCCGCAGGAGACCTTATTTTTTAACTTCCGTGTTCAGTCTTTTCACATCTGCTAATGGCTTAGAAGTAGCAGAATAAGTGTGAGTTTCTCTTCTTTTTTCTGTGGCAAAGATCTCTCTGAAAGTGAACTAAGTGCCTGATAGGATGAAGGAAATGGAACAAAAGTTCTGGAGAATTGGATAATGAGGTTCAGAATAGTGGAGAGGGCTACAGCTGGCAGCCCACGACCTCAGACCTCAGGGCAGTGCCAGGCGAGCGTTGTGTGGGGCACACCACTTAGCATTACCACTTGGCAATTTCATTGGCACATAGAGATTCTGGGCAAAATAAAAATAAAGTAGTTTTCCTTCCAAATATAAGCAAGGAATAACACCTGTTCCTCTTTAACACATGAGTGAAAAAAAAGTCTCAGTAAGAGGTCTTGAGATTTCTCAAATCTTTTCTTATTAGATTAGCTAATTTTTTTTTTTTTTTTTTTTTGACAGGCAGAGTTAGACAGTGAGAGAGAGAGACAGAGAGAAAGGTCTTCCTTCCATTGGTTCACCCCCCAAATGGCCACCACGGCCGGCACTGAGCCGATCCAAAGCCAGGAGCCAGGTGCTTCCTCCTGGTCTCCCACGCGGGTGGAGGTGCCCAAGCACTTGGGCCATCCTCCACTGCACTCCCGGGCCACAGCAGAGAGCTGAACTGGAAGAGGGGCAACCGGGACAGAATCCGGCACCCCAACCGGGACTAGAACCTGGAGTACCGGCGCCGCAGGCAGAGGATTAACCCAGTGAACCGTGGCACCGGTGTAAGTTTAGCTATGTTTTTAAAAAAAGAAATTTGTCTCTTCCATCAAAACATATGCTTAAAAATCTGTGTCATTTGTTATTTTTAGATGATGAGGCATCGTCTATGATAGGTCACTTTTTCGTTATTTTTTCTGATATGTGTATGATTTTCATCCTGAGAGTTTGAATGAATCTGACTTTTTAAACATATACTTGTAATGTGCTAGGGTTTGTCTCCGGGGGGCCCTGACTTGAGGTTCTTTCTTACCATCTCTCCCTTTCTGTAATTGTTAGGAAAAGTAACGGATTCATTTTCAGAAGCATGTAGCACAGTGGAAGGTTTTTTTTTTTTTTTTTTTAAATCACGGATAGATTTAAAATGACATTTATTTATTTATTTTTTTGCATTTTAATGGAAGATAAATCTGTTTAATGTTGTATGATAGCCTAGAAACTGATTTTGCCCAACACAGAGCAATAAAGAACTGCGCTAAATTATGTTAATATATTTATTTTATTCCCTTTCTCTCCTTATGAATGAAGATTAGATGACTTTAATTTGGTTTATTTTTATTTCAATCAGTTTGGGAACACATGCAGGCCACAGCTTTCGCGTAGCCTCCTAACGCCGTCATGTTCTTCCTGCTTGCTGTCTGCTTCCTCTCAGCGCTTCGTGCCTGACGCTGGTTTTAGAGCTGGTGGGGGGGATTTGAAGGAAATAGGGGCTGTCCCAGATGTGGTCATGTGATGTGAATAAAATACTCATCAACTGGGAGGAAATCAGCGGGTCAGTTAGCAGGGCTTTGTGTGCTGTCCCGTGAATAGGCAGTAACTGCTACTTGGATACTGATGTTACATAATGTTGGACACGCATAAATTCATACATGTAACTAAGAGGGATCCCACGCCCGGTGCCCTTGTGTGAGCCTTCCGGGCACATGGAGAGACTGTGTGTGCTCAGAGGCATACCGTGGTGCTGCGTTGTTTTCCGGAGTCTCTAGTTTTCCTTGGTTGGGGGGTCACTTTACCTCCCTACCACTGGTGTCAAGAATTCATTTTGTGCTCACTGGCATGTGGTGTTTCAGGCTTTTAATTGGGTGGCTACAGAATGGCACGTTGCTATACTCTTGCTCTGTGTACTTTCCTGGTCACTAGTGTTAGAAGACAAACTCCAGACATAGTGAATTTCTCGGATTACCTGCACACAGGATTCATGATGTAGGCGGCGTTCAGGGTCAGAGGAGGCTCAGGGAGCTGTGCCCGGCTGTGTCAGCAAGGATCTCTCTCTGCACAAAGAAGCACAGCAGAGCCATTCCCTGATGAGCCAGCTGTGGCTGTGTCAGCCCTATGGGGGTGCTGTCCTGACACGTTTGCCGTATTTGGACAGGGTCTGATCAGCTGACTGTAATGGGGTGAGCATCAACTGTTGTGATTGGCTAAAGCCTTATTATTTGTTAAAGAAAAAAACGATACCCCTGTAACTCAGGTTTTTATTTGTTTCCTGGTAGATGGTGGTTTGTTAGTAGGGAGCAGGCCTCAGGCCCGCGGCCTCTTCTCATTAACAGGAGCAGTGCCTTTGTGCATTTTTTGTAAATTGAGTTCCTGGTGGCTTTTTTTTTTAACGTATTTTGGATAAGCAATCTACATTCATTTGTGTGTTTTAGTTTTTGTCTTAATTGTTCACTTTTTTAAGAAGTATCTTTTAGTAAACAGAATTGATATTGGCAGCCTGTTACTCTCTTTTATGATTAGTATTTTTCACCAAGATTCTTGTTTAACTTAGTTCTTCCCTGCCAAGGTTTTA